ATATATATATATATAAACATTTGAAAAATTTCGCGATCCATCGAATATACGGGTCCTTTATTATAATCTTATATTTGTTTATTACGTTACATTAATTATTCTATTTCGATTATTGTTCTATTTCGAGTATTTTGAGTTATTTATCAGAGAGCGAAGGATAATATCAGAATATTTTAATGACAAGCAGTAAATTATCCAAAAGATATATCATTCCTTTTATTGCGCATTTTCAAAATTCGATATTCAAAAAAATCGAGATTTTACAATCAATGTATTTCTTTCCTTTTTTACGAAAATGGCACGAAAGGATAAAAATTGACGACAATATAGCGATCAACATATATCATTGGCCACCTACGTGAGTTACAAAGAATTTATTGCTAATTGCTTTCATTTTGTTTCATCCCTTTTTGTCATTTTTATTCATTATCGTTGTGATTTAAGGATCATAAAGTATCCTATCAGACGTGAGAGTTTTAGCAAGGGTAAGCGAAATTATTAGCGGAATTATCTTCTTATCGCAGTTGTAAAAAATTTCCTCGAGCCACCTATCCGATGAAATTTAAGGAAAAGACTGTTTTTGTGTACTATAGCTAGTAAAAAATAGAAAAAGACAACAGGTTCAACCAGTGCCGTGAATATCCGATAATACGCTGTTCTAATACCACATAATATGTACACTATGTATGCTGTTTTTCAATCGGCGATAACGATCTTAGCCGTTTGTATACTCGAATAGTATGCAGTAACGAACTTTGAAAAATATGCTACAGGAATGTCGCAATTATTACGCCGGCCTGTTTATCTTTAAAGTTACTCAACATCTACGTAATATACCTTATAATGTTCCTATAAATTTATAGTTAACGAATGTATTGCTGAAGACAGACATTCCTACGTAATATGATCACACTTGACATTTTTACAAAAATTAGAAAATATTTTTATAAAGACATGAATCTTGAACAGCTATACTTAAAAAAATAGTTTAATACAAACATTATATATAAATATAAAAATAAATATAAAGATAAAAATAAAAAAACATGGAATAATGCTGATTTTATATTGGCATATTTATATATTTGTGTATTTACTTATAGAGTTTTATGTAAGATTATGTGTATCAATAGTATTTTTGATTGATTAAAATATATGAAATTTTTTAAATTGACGGCACTGGTTTCTACCGCCTGATATCGATGGTAGAATTTGACACGTCTCGAGAACTTAAATTTATTACGACATTACATATATATCTGGCCCCTTTATAGATCATATAGCAGCACTCGTACAATCACTAGCAGAAATGCGCGTTACGGTGTACGCCAATTCGTTTTCTTCGGCGCAATCGCGGGGGTGTTCGTTACCTTCATATATATTCCAGGATTGCAAAAAATATTAATAAAAACATAGAAATTAAGATAGATCTCTTATTAGAACTCTTATTTGGTTATACAATGAAAAAATCCATAATAAAAAAAATTAATGTATTTTCTAATGCAATTATAAAGTAAATTATAAAAATTAAAACAATTTCAAATAGCATAATTATTGTAATTTCTTGTTGTTTAAAGAGATATGCATAAATATGGACTCTTGTATACATTGTTGTTATTATCATTGAAAAGTAACATTATTGTAAATATTAATAAACAAAGGGATTGATTTTATTATCTATAAAAACTTACGCTCGTAACATCTCCAATTAAAGGATATTAAAGTTTTTCATCGAAATACGAACCAGTTAACAGAATGCATATTTCAATATATCTGAAATTTCTCGTTTCGAAATATTTGAAACTGAAAGCTTTTTCAATTTTTTTTTCTCTTTTTCCAAGCATCATTAACACACAAAATTTCGAATGCTACCGAGACCTGTTACGTGCTAAAATAATTAATCTATAAGCGATCGAATTACCCCTATTCTTCCCCGATCTCGGCTGACGAGTTCACGCGCAGCCATTAATTTGATTGTTTGCTGAAGCGTCGTTGGTTCATTTCGACGCAACGCTATTCGATCAGTCTCCCCGATTAATTATCGCAAATGAACATGATACACGAATCGGCCGGGTGTATAATTATATCGATTAAACGCGAGCTTATGAACACCTCCGTCCGTCGGTTTCGCAACGCGACACCGCAACCGATTTCTGTCTGAAGAATGAGAAAAGCTTTCGTACAATCAATCGTAGAAAAACCGTGTGAGCAGCGCATTGCTCGTATCGCCTTTAAGGATTTTTATGAGAAACCTCTATTTTCGCGAAAAATTTATATCAATCGCGAGATTATTATGTGAGAATCTGGGAACAAGTGATCAAAAATAAGTTTTAATTTACAAAAATCTGTATTTTTCGTCAATTACCTCTCATTTTAATATTATAGTTAAATGTGCTTGTACATTTATGTAGTCATATTTCTATTTTTAAAGATAATATATTGATGCTCTCACATACACACATGTACGTGTGTTTCATTGTGTTATCATGTTTGAAAAATTATTTTATTACATAAATTTATTATAAATTAAAAGTATATAAAATATTTTTAATTATCAAGTAAAACCGTATGAAACACATCAATACATCTCTCTATGCCTACTGCAATCATACATAAATATTGTATTTAAATATATGAAAAAAACTTTTACAGAATCACTCTCGTTTCCAGATTACTTTTTTGTTTTTTCTCGAGACAGCGAACGAGCGAAAGCAGAATTTCACACGGCTCCTAGATATTAACGCGAGCTTCAAAGATGTAGAAGCGATTGTAAAGCACGGAATATACAGGAGAATACTGAATTTAGTATTTTAGCACAGTTTTAGATTGTATATTGGGTGTTTTGATAAAGTATTTGACAAATTAATTTTTTTTTCTTTAATCGGCGTACATCCGCGATAAAAGTGAATGCTGTTTGGTCAAAACCTGGCTTTAATTTTATAAATTAAAGAATATATATATATATATATATACATTTTCTTCTTTTGTCCCATTCCTACTGTATCGCATAAACGCAAACAATTGAAAACATATTGCTGTTTTTTACTTATTTCAACAAATTAGAAGGATTTTGAAGTTTGATCAAAATCGCG